AAATAAAAGTCCATGTTTTTTTTGTTTCTTTCTTTAAAATGGAGGACAGGAGGGAGGTCAACATGGACCAAACCATGAAGGTGCCTGTGATCCATAATCCTGGAGCCAAGGAGGATCCAGCAGACGTGTCTATTGTGATTTAGGGAAAGTGCTGAACACGGTTGGTAGTGCACCAGCAGTGGTGGCTGGTTGATTTTTTTCTGAATTTGTATATAACTGTATGTATATATAACAATATTCAGAATATGATATAACTACCATATCGTAACTATTATAAATATACAATATAAATATCACACATATCATATAATAAATATATTATATTATATTAAAGGATAATGTTACAATATAAATATATTTATATAAAATCTATTAGAACATGTGTGTCTATATATATATATATATATATATATATATATATATATATATATATATATATATATATATATATATATATTCCTCGTTGTGCGTCGCTGCTGGGTAGCGATGTTAACTTTAACGTGACGTGAGTTATGCTGCGGTCAACCAGCCTCCACAGCCTGCGGTGCGCGAATGTACAACGTTAGCATGTAGCTGTTACGAAGGACGCTCCCGCACCGCCTCCCTCTCGCCATCGGAGGGACCCCTCTCCCGAGTACTAACTGGTTTCGAACTCCATCTCCCATCATGCTTCACACCTGGGACTGATTCCACAACACCACTGATGACACACACACCTGCACCTCATTGACACACACACCTGCTCCTCATTGACACACACACAAAAGCCACTGACACCCACACACTCACTGCGAAGTCTTGATTCTGCCCCGGCTGTCATTTCTGAGCGTTTTCTCCTAGTCTTGATCCCTGTTTAGTGACCCCGGACCGTACTGCTGATTGCTCTCTGCCTGCCCCGACCCCTGCCTGCCCGCTGACTACGATCCTGTCTGCTCTACGTTGCCCTGTCTGCTGTCATTGACTCTGCCTGTCTGATGCTCTAATAAAAACCTGCGAATGGATCCCTCCGAATCCGGCGTCTCCTTACAGTAGCTAACTAGCTGGCTAAACATTCAAAAATACAAATAGAGACATATTGGCCAAATGTGTTTTTTAATATAATTTTTAAAAGTTATCTTTTTTTATTTATTATTTTTGGTTGAAGGTGAGGCCACGCCACATTGCCCTCTATGGATCAGCTGCCACTGCCAACCAGGGCATGTGTGCTGCTGACAACCTCAACCTTGAGTAAAATTATACATTTGAAGTATTCCAAAAACGGTCTATTTTTTAACATTTCCTCGAATAAAAATAATTTTGACATGATCAATTATCAAAGTTAAGTAAGGCTTACCTTCCCGGATTAAGTAATGGTTAATAAATCATATTGTTCAATTATTAATAACAATTATTAGATATTAAATGCTTAGAGTTAATATTATCTACTTTTTGTAAGTAATCAGTTGTATAAGTGTAAGTGTATAAGCGTTTGGTAGACTCATATCTTAGTTGCTTTACATAAACATGTGGTGAAATCTACTCAAACAAACAGAGTGTAATTTGTTACCTCACATTTATTAAGTAAATTCTATAGGTTGTTTTTTATAGTGCATTTCCTTTCAGGCATATTTACAATTTGTGGACAAATGTTGGCCTATTGCAGGTTCTGGTGGTCACAAACCCACCTCAGGAATCTCAACTGAGAACGCGGGCGGGGCATAAAAGTATTTTACGTTCACCTTCTAACTTTGCTCAACTTTTTGTTTGCTTTAAAAGGAATGAAGATCCAAGAGGTGAAATAAAACCAAGGAAGCATGTTGGTGAGATACGTTGTCAGAGAAGCTAAACATTACCAAAAAAATTAACCTCACAATATTTTATAATGTTTAGTGTCATTTTGCCCTTCCTCCTCTCTCTTACTATAATACCTGAAGGCTGACGGGTCTTTACCCTGGATGTGAATCCTGAATGTAAAACCAGACATGATGAGACACACGTCATTCAAATGCACGTCACTGTTTCAAAACAGCAGATATGTTGGAAAGCAAATGAAAGGAAATCTGAGAAATGTGTGCGATAGAGAGAGTGTGTGTGTGTGCTTGTTCTACGTGCATGTATGTGTATGTGTATACGTAAGTGTATTCCAAAGTATTTTGACATGCATATGGTGCAGCACTGGATTGGTGTGTTTATGTTGCAGTTGTGTGATTGCATCTGGTTTTATGTCTGTGTGTGTGTTACTGTGTGCGCATGTGTTGGTGTCTACATAGAGTATTTAAGTGTATATGTGTGTTTGATGAGTTTAGTGCATACGAGCGTGTGGTTCGGAGCGTGTATTCTGTGTCTGCGTTTGTGTGTGTGGAGTTTTATCGAGAGGAACCGTGTGTGGGGGAGGAGAATGTGGAACTGAATTATGTCTTTTTCAGTGGGGAGGGGTGCATATATATATATGTGTGTGTGTATGTGGGGGATGGGCAGAACACCCACTGTATGTATGTTCACTAAGTATGTGTGGGCTGGCTTGTGGCGTGTGTGTGTATGTGTGTGTGTTAAGGAGAGTGAAAGACAACATTTTATAACACCAATTTGTGTGCGTATAAACTCAGTGTGTATGTGAGTGCATGTGCATGTGCTTGTGTGTCTGAGATTACGTTTCCAGAATGCACGTGTGTGTGTGTTCAGATCGTATATGTGTGTGTATGAGTGTAATTATTAGTGTGTCTGCTGGTACTTCATGTGTGTGAGTGTATTTCATACATGTAATATGCATGTGTGAGCATCTGCTGAAGTGTACTGATTGTGTGTGAGTCGGTGAGATGTGCATCTGTGTGTGTGTGTCTGTGACCGAATCTCTTTGTTTATGTGCTTCTGTGTTTATGGATTTATTTGCGGGTAATGGAAATGTGTTGTTCTGTCATTGCAGATCTTTGTTTATCGAGTTTTGAATAGTCTCTGTTTGTCAAACACACACGAGCTGCTTCACTGATTCATCTGAAAAAAGAGCAGTTTTCACACAATATCAATTTTGCAGGGTAAGAAAATGCCCCTTGTAAGCCAACATGGATGTGTACTGTGTGTGTGTGTGTGTGTGGAGTTCCTGTTTCAGGCATTACTGACACCATGGGCGCGGTTATGCGCCACAGCCAGAGCAGCAGAAACCGCTTGCAGTGATCCCGTCTGTCAGGGTCATTATCACTGTAAGTGGATCATTTTTATTTCATCTTTGAATTCCTCATGCAGATTTCACCAAATGGAAGGTTTTGCTACTTGCAGCCCAACGTGCCGGCCATTTTGCCTCACCAAACTCTGGTTTGGGTCGATGGATTGCCGTCCAGCTGTGTATCGGTGGTGTGGCTGCGGTGACCCCGGTGTTAACCGCCCTACGGTACCACACATGAGTGGCCCACGCGGGGCGGGGGGGCTGGATGACTCGCTTTCCGCTCAAGGCGGAGGTTTATTGTGAAGACACACGTACCAATGCGACACCACAGGGAGGACCAAGTCATTTAAAGACGTTAACAAACATTAAATGGACGTGTTACATTCAATGGTGACAATGTAGTTCTTTGGTGTTTTCCCAAAGCCTTTCCCATTTTCCCATCATTACATTACATGTCATTTAGCTGACGCTTTTGTCCAAAGCGACTTACAATAAGTGCATTTCAACCATGAGGAAGGCTCTCTGTGGTCCTGATGTCATCAGAGAGCTCGTTCCATCATTTAGGAGCAGGACAGCAAAGAGTCGTGATCTAGTCGAGTGTTTTGCTCTCAGTGCGTTTGGCCGATGCAGAGCGGAGAGTGCGGGTTGGCGTGTCGGGTTTGACCATGTCCTGGATAGACTGGACCCCATCCATTCACAGCACGGTACGTAACACCGTAGTCTGGAGATGCGGTATAAACTATATCTAATGTATACATACACCATTCACACAGAAAGAGAGGGAGAGAGATGCCGGCCAAGCACATAGAGTGGGACTGAAAGGAGAGCCACAGAAGGTATCAACTAAAACAACACCCTGAAACTACCTTTGATTTGCTGATGCTGTACTTTGGTATTAAGGAATTATTATAATGCAACCAAATTAGCACAGTCAACCTGGGTTTTTAGGAGTGCGTTCTATGCAATCTTAGCACCACGGACAGCAGACAAGTCAATCATTTACATAATTATGTTTTTTCTACAATATGTTTATCATGAAACGGGCGGTACGGCGGCGTGGTGGTGGTTAGCACTGTTGCCTCACAGCAAGAAGGTCCTGGGTTCGACTCCGTCCAGTGGCCTTTCTGTGTGGAATCTGCATGTTCTCTGCGTGGGTTTTCTCCGGGTTCTCCGGCTTCCTCCCACAGTCCAAAGACATGCTCTGGGGATCAAGTTGATTGGTGACTCTAAATTGCCCGTAGGTGTGTGAATGTTAGTGTGAATGGTTGTGCGTCTCTGTGTAGCCCTGCGATTGGCTCGCGACCAGACCAGGGTGAAGCCCGTCTATCGTCTGAAGTTGGCTGGGACAGACTCCAGCCCCCCGTGACCGTGTGTAGGATAAGTTGTTTGTGAATGGATGGATTATGTGCTTCTTTTCAATTTTGACAATTTATTGTCACACAAGAGTCATGCATTCCTATCGTATAAAACACTCACCCAGTCACTTAAGTGTGTGTCCAAAGATACCCCTGGCTGGATCTTTAGAGGCACTGTCCACTCTGGATGGAGCATCTTCTGCAGCTCAGCTCGTTTTGGATCTATTTGTCAAGGTGGACGAAAACACTGTCGGTCGTTTACTATCAAAATAAAATCGCTCGGTGTTCCGCACCAGTACTTGCTACACATTATACCACTGAAATGTATATTATAGGTAGTGTAATGAGTCGTGGACATTTTTAATACATGTTTTGAAGTATCCGTTATCGCTTTTAATGTTTTGTTCCGTGGTCGTCCACGCGGGGCTCTGCGCTTTTATTTTGTGAGAGAATGCGCTTCCGGCCTCGTCACTGCGTGCTCGTGCTGGCTTGATGGCGGAGCCTCTTTGTAGGACTGGCTTAGCAGCGGAGGCGGAGGAACATTCATCAGAGTCCCAGACAGGGACAGACAGGGTCCAGCAGCGTCCCCCTGTCCGAACCACCTAGCAACGTCAAAAACGAGCGAAGGGACCTTTTCCAAAGTGCACCGTTCAAAGTGTGGAAGAAGCGCGTTTACCGGGGAGTTGGCGTCTCGCGGCGGCGCGCGGAGGAGAGCATCGCTCCAAACTTCCCCGACTCCATGAGCTCCGTCAAGGGTTATTCTCCCTGAAACCGGCGTTTCTTCTCCAGCAGAAGCTCCTGCTATCAGACGTGGGGGGGTTGGTTCGCCTAAAAAGCATCTAACTTAGAAAAGGTTCAGGTTTTTAGACATTCCCCGAGAAACTAGGAGGACGGACGGAGCGAGAAGTGGATGTATCTCCAGCCATGGATGTAACAGTTTACCCGCCTCCTCATCAGCCGCTGGCCGCGTCGGACCACACCAGGTTGGGACAACTCTCCTACCCGGACTCGTCCTACGGGACCAGCAAGGTAAGGAAGGAAGGAGAGAAGGAGCCTCTGTTGGACCCCTTGTGTTTCCCATTGTCTAGGACAGAAGATGCCTTTGTGGTGTTCACCTCTCCGTGTGTCCATCTTCACGGACGTGTCCACGAACGCCGTGTTGGAACATTCACATGCGGGCAGTTCTTTGCCGGTGATGTAATAACGAACACCCTCAATTAACGGCACCACCTGTAATATAAAGGTAATTAAGTTCATAAATGCACAGACAGGAGCCTTGTGGTGTGAATACAATTGAATGGAAACACGCATTGTTTTATTCGCCGTGCATCGAATAGTTAAAAGTGGAGTACAATCATTGGGATTGAACGATACTGATGTTTGGGGCAGCTGGGTGGTTTTTCCTCCCTCCAGAGCAAGGTCAAAGGTCAGGGTCCGATTTGCGAGAGGAACGTGGAGCTTAGAGGGGTCCGGTGCGTTGCCACCGTTTGAGACCCCTCTGAAGCAGAATGGATGGAATGATATTTGATCATAGGACTGTCCATCCAGCCGCGTCTCCACCCATGTCTCCATCTCACCAGCCACCCGGCATGTGTGCGCAAAGGGCAGTTTCTTGTGCGGTGCGGAGGGACACTAGAGGCAGTGGGACCTGCTCATTTGACAGTGATTAATTGCTTAATTATTTAACTAGTTGCACTGATGAGCGCAGCTATTAGAGAGAAGGATTTCGTTATTATTAGTAACCACTCTTAAATCTTCACAACAGCATTTGGAACACATTCGTTTTCAGAATTAAAATTAGTAAGAGTTTCTATTACACTTCTACGCAACAGTGTGAAAATATTTTTTTTCCTCCTTTTTTTATTGTTCAAATCACTGACCAAAGCAGCATCATGTAACATCCACGTAGGAACGCTTTGCTGGCTGCACACATCTCCCGATGGGACTTCTTCATCATTTTAGCACAGCGGGACCCGAACGGAGCCACTCTGGACCCGCGCTCTGAACTTGTGATTCTGCTCCGTCATGGAGTGTGTTGGACTATTTCATGATTGATTGTCTGATGGCGCCGTGCCCGCAGACATTAATTCCCCCGCAGCATTTAGAAGAGAAACGCTGCGTTCAAGCTCTCTGCCCACTTTGGTTCCACGTGAAGCTCTTTAGGGTGAAAATGTGAACTAATTGACACCATGAAAGTCTTTAAGTTGATGACCTAAAATAAACACAATATTTGCTTTGCATAACAGGTTTTATGCTAATTTTCATACATTTGAAGAAGCCATGTTAAGAGATATTGGTTTTTTTTATATGTCAAAGGTTTTACACAAGCAATTTTATATCTTTGAATCACTCCAGAAATTTGAAAATATTGTCTTAAAGTTTCACCATGTTTTTATTACTAAATGTGGTATAAATCAGGCTATGAATGATATATAATAATAATAATAATAATAATAGTAAAAAAGAACGAAACGGGATCTTTTGTTGTGTGTGAGTGCAGCTGCTGATTTCTGTCTCCGTCTGAGAACCATTTTAGAGAGATGTTTCTAACTAATAGTTATCGCCATGAAACTTCCCCTGTCTGCAACTCCCATTAGAATGATCCTTTTTTTAATCCATTGGTAGTACCCTGCGCAGCGTTTGCCCTGTGTGCCACTATAACAGCCCCCCCTGAAGTTGTAAACCTGGGCCAAACACTGCTGTTGAAAGTCTACAGATGCCAATAGACAAAATGGTGAAATAAACTCACAAACATATATTTAGTCTGAGTGTAGACGTCTAAAGCCAGCAGGATGTCAAAGGTCGTCTCCTGTGGCGTCTCTCCCTGAGGACTAACAGTACAGAATTACTTATTGAATGGAAGATCATTTGTGCATTATTATGCCTTTCTGAATTTGAGCTCTTTGTGTGATTCACTGTGACCTCTGACCTGCAGGTTGGCCATGAACGAAATATCACGTCTATGTCTTTATGAGATTATAGTGATCTATACTGTGTCTCTTTTCTCTCTCAGTATTTATTACCCGCTGTGCCGCGCGCCAATCTGCTGCTTTTAATCTCTGATTCCACCATCACTTGTAGAAGTGGTTTGCACACGGAATCATGCAACATCGTATGGTGGTTTTTTTCTCCTCAGTGAGTATTTTTGTTTCAGAGAGAGGGATGTGGAGAGAGCTGTGTGGTGTGGTTGGGGGTAGGGATTGAAAAGAGAGGGAGAGAGAACAGGGCGGTTGGGGGTAGGGATGTTGTAAATGAGAGGGAGAGAGAGAGAGAGAGAGAGAGAGAGAGAGAGTAGTGGGGGTGGGGCCACTAAGGTTTGTACTATATTTCTCTGTTGATTCACGGCTGTGTCGGCCTGATAGAAAAGATCATGTTACTGTGTGTGCGGGGGAACAGCAGAGAGAATATAAAAGGAGAAGGAAGGAGAGAGAGAGAGAGAGAGAGAGAGAGAGAGAGAGGTACGGCTGAGGAAAGGGGGAGAGAAACAGGAAGTCAGAGGGGAATAAAGGTAGCAAAGAAGAAACAAAATGAGAGAAGAGAACGAGAGACTGTGTGTGTGTAAGAGAGAAAGTAAAGCAGGTCCTGCAGATGTGTTAATGTAACGGCGTCGTATTCGGAGTGCCCTACATTTTTCGTTTTAATTAAATACTGCAAAATGTCCAAAACTACCACCGAGAAGTGGAGGTATGCATGTGGAAACCTCACAATTAGATCCTGACGGCGACGTTGTGTGATGCATCGACCCCTCAGTTTGCAATGATGCATAAGCGTTTTCACCATCCAGGTTGGTCGAGCAGTAGCAGACACTTTGCTCCTGCTTCCAGGACTGGAGTCCAGCTCCAACTCTCCTCTTCCCCGACGGCTACGCTACAACAAATGCAATCAGAATGTTTTAAATGTACAATTGAAGGTTTGAGAGAAAGATGGTGGCTGCTGATCAAAAGCATAACCATAGATAACTTGATGGTCTGGAAAAAAAGTTTGTTTTCCTTTTCACATCTGGAGCATTCTTTATAGTGCTTGTGCCAATCTTCATTGCCATTACGTATAATTAGCATTATATAATAATTAACATCCTGACAAAGAAGTTGTTTATAGATGACCGAAGCAGTGCTCCGCCTCACGCCTGCGGTCGCCGTGATGTGGTGAAAGATGTGTACGTGGTGGTTGTCACGGTTACCAGTAAACTCACCAAGATAGCATTTGAATTAAAGTCCGCATGGAAAACTGGCCTAGAACATATTGAAGTTTAGTCCTTCAGTCTGAAGATATTAATTACATTAATACAGTTTTACCCCAAAACATATATGGCATGTGTTTGTTTCTGTAAATCTTTTTCTTTTCGCGAGTGAATACCTTGCGTTCACCTACAGCAGAGCTCCTCAACAGGGGGTCCGCGACCCCCAGGTGGTCCGCGGGGGTACTGCAGGGGGGGCGCGAAATCTTTGGTTGATAAGGTTGATTGTTTTTTTCAACCAATTTTTTTTCCACAAATTTAAATGTCTTCAGAATCAGAATAAGAATTGTATTTATTGTGTTTAAATACACATTAACATGAATCCAATATATTGTAGCGAACAGATAAATTGATGGAGGAGACGTTATCTTTCAGTCCCACAGCAGCTCTCTGCTGGACACCGGTTCCCTCACAGCTCCTTTGCCACCTTTGGCACCAGCCAATCAGATCCATTCATGCTCACGTCTAAAGAGCGCCAAGCTCAAAAATAAAAGATGGCGGACCAAACTCGTATAATAGGGGGTCCCTGTTCCGTCTCGCCATCAGTTTGGGGGTCGTCGGCTTGAAAAACGTTGAAGAGCCCTGAGCTACAGCATAAACAAAAGTGTCACTGCAGCTATAGTTACATTAACGGAATGAACGGAAGAAGCGAGTGAGCAACGCCGAGCTCTGATTGGATGATCGTGCTCGTAATGAGTTGCCGCAAATGCAAATAGGAGACACTTGTTTGCTGCAAGAGTTTATTGAAACATCAGAAAAGTTGCATTGAAGGTTGTCATGAAGTTAAAACGTGTAGAATCAATCAAGTGTTTTTTGTGGTGGAAGACTGCAGAACTAAAACGAGTGAAATAAAGCAAGAAGAGCAGACACTGAATGTGGAGTAGAGGGAGGGCAGGGTGAGAGAGAGGGAGACAGAGAGAGAGAGAGAGACTAATGTAAACATGATGATTGTGAAAGCTCGGTGAGGTATTTCTAAAGCAAATAGAGAGGACGACAGAACAGGGAGGAACAAAGAAGGTCTCAGTACGGACCAGGAGACTGTAGAGCGATGCAGAGCAGTATATAGAGGATAGAAATACACTTTCAGGGTTATGAATTAGAAGACAAAGGGAAAACGTCATCAAAAAACAATAAGAACCCTAATACCGTGTCTTTCCTATGAGCTTACATATCCGTCTTCTGTCATACATTGTCTTCAAATTGTGCAAATCCACTGGGGTTTACATCCACTTCTCTGCTTCTCCGCATCATCCTCGTTGTTTTGAACAATATTTTAAGGGAGCAGGTTTCAATACAGTGTGACGGCAATCTCTCATACTGCGTCATATTGTACCACATTGCATTGCGTCGTATCGTATCTCGTTGAATTGTACCTCATCCCGTCGTGTCATACCTCAATACATCGCACCGTCCTGCATCGCGTTGTATTGTACCGTACCGCATCGCACCACATTGTATCGTACTTTATCGCACTGCATTGCATCGTTCCACGTCGTATCGTACCTCATGGCATCTAACCACATTGCACCGTTTTGTACTTCATACTTTATTGTACCGTATGGCTATCAGTGTTTCTCCCAGGTCTACAACTTTGGGTTCGGGGGGGGTAGAAGTCGGGCAAACGGTTCGGCTGTAGTCACCGGGAAGGGGGGCAGTCACTCTGGTGCTCTCTGCCCCCGCTGCTGCAAGCGCCACATTTATGCCAGTGTGGATCTGCCGTGCGTGGAAAAATAACGGAAACCCCCTTTTTTTTTACTTTAAATTGCACTTGACCCTTTTTCACATACATATA